CCCCCCCTCTCGACTTTTTTAATTTGATGTTCCGTCCCCTCTGTGAAGCCTGAAGTCAACTAAAGGGCTAATGATAACCATCAAAGCGCCTACCATTTGATATAAATAAATATTACAAAATGGGCAACTTAGCGTTCCAAAATTTAAATACCGTAAACCATAAGTCTGGATTGTAGCTAATTTTGATCTCTTCAATATTTAGTTCTTACTAACCGGTGATGAGATCACGATGGTCGGTCATGCCATTTCAGCGGTTGAGAGAATAAAATGAGCTGACATAACATTCAACAGGTTTCAGTCATAAGTTAGCGGAGATGATGTAACAAGGCTGAACTAAGCTAACACTGGAATGTTAGGGAAGACCTTGGGGGTTCGAATAGTTTGGTGAAGAAAAAAGGGTACTATGATGAGCGACTCAAATAAATCATCATCAGAAATTGTTAAAGAGAATATCGAGTGCTGAAAACTAGATTTTCCCACAATTAAGGCCCAGTGTCATCCATTTAAACTGAGGCCGTAGTAAGGTGCCGAAATTAAGACAAATTAATAATTATTAGAATAATTACAGTCAATTCGTTTAAGCTCAAATGGAGAGGAAATGTAGAATATAGTTATATCAACTCACACATATCGATAGGCTAGCTTAATGCGATCAATGAAATCTATCAATAGCCTTAGGAGAAAAACAATTTACCATACCCTCAGTGGTGTTATAGTTTAAAAGTGTCCTATTTAGATAAAAAGAAAAACAAGACTAGTATTTCGCTCACTCGTGAAAAGGCAGCAAGCGGTGAGGCACCAGAACCATCACTAACAGCGGCTGTATTTCCGCCAACAATGCTGAAGCCGAGGCTTCCATTAGCAGTTCGAGGGAGGATAATGATACGAGGGATTTGACAGTAGCGGGGCAATTGAAGCCAGTACAGCCAACTTGGTAGGAAGTTCTCTCGCCCAGAACCGGTTTCGGGACCCTCCAAAACTCGAATGGTCACCTTAATTAGGAGAAATAACAGAGAGGTAAAGCGATTGAAGGAATGAATGTATTATTTCAGACATCACGATCGAAGTTGTAGTAAATCACGAGTATACACTACACGCTAAATTTCATTAGTAATCTAATGATTTGTACACCCCCAAAAGGAATGTGTTCCCAGTGGACAAATAAAATATCTGCCAGAGGTCAATAGTTCGACACACATCTAGTAGACGAAATTGTGGAACAAATTGCATTAACAAAAAATTCTTTACTCATAAAATGACATGACCGTTGGCTTTGCACAACTTTGAATAAATCTTGGAGGTTTGCTTGATTTATTATTATTATTATTATTATTGCCGAGTTCAGGGGTTTGTAGGCTAAATTGGGACGCCATTTAGGTCGTAAAAGTAGCAATGCATATTATTCACCACCTCTAAAACTTCAGCAAGGTAGAAGCAAAAGTCTTCCTTTTTAAAACGAACAGTGAAGTGCTTAAGTCTTCCTTCAAATAGTTGAAAAGTTTATCTGCAGAAATAAAGGTTCTATCAGCAAAAAAAATCAGGCCTAAAGGCCTCCTGGTGTCCCAAACACACCTAACACCCCACAGTCAGGGTAAAGGTATGAGTCAACGCAGAGGTGGCCAGAACAGGCCTATGAGTCAGTGCGTTGGCACTATAAACCCGGTATCAAAGGAGTTCCAAAGGGTGCAATAGGATGTATTTGTACCGTTTCACATACTACTCAACTGACAACAACTTTACATTCAAGACTATTCGTTTAATTTCCATTTAAAGTAGAAAACGACATGCGATACATGGTTGAAGGTTGAATTGATCACGTTGTGCTTCTTGAGATCTCAGATACACCGCTGAGAATTGGTCAGCGTACGTACTAAGATGTCATGCCAGACATGACAGAAATGGAAGAATCAAGCTCACCTTGGAACATGTCTTCCTTGTAGCTTTGAGCGCTTCAACAGCCTTTTCGTGAGAGAGACCTAAGAGTTCAATTTCGTTGACTGCCAAAAGAACATCTCCCTTTGCGAGTTGACCGGCACGACCGAGGACCCCAGTTGGGACGAGGTTGGTGATGTAGACAGGGGTGTCACCGCGTTGACTTGCCACTCCACCTGCTACTGTCATACCCAAGGATTCACCAGGCATCTTTTCCACGGTTATCTCCTATAAGTCGGGTAAGAATTAAAGTCAAACAGAGACAGAAACATTGAGTTGTTTGATTGAATGGATGTGTTGTCAAATACATAGATCAACATACCAAATTCCAATAAAACTTGGTTAAATTGATCCAATACACTTTAGTTGATACAAGCCAAGTGTAAAAGGATATGGTACAGTCATTAAATCTAGCACGAAAATTAATCACAACTAGGAGGGAGGAGAAAGGTAGGCACATCTCTTTCCACTGGTCGAAAGTGACAACCCTTCCGATTGGCAACAAGCAATTATGAGCTTTAGCAATTCATTAGTAAATTTGTCAATGACCAGTAGGATGTTAAAAAAAGCATTAACATAGCGCTGTGTTGAATTCAAGATATACCCGATTAATTGCATGACGGACACACTAACACACCAAACTTCGTTGACAAAACGCGGCATTTTTTAAAATCAGTTCAGAGAAAGAAAACACAGGTCCAGAAACTGGGACTTCGCTTTATCACATTGCACCACTCCCCATTTCCCAAGAAGAAAGGGAAAACAGAAGTAAAAGGCGACTTACACAAAATACGATACCCGCTTCATAACGCTTATTTGCAAAAAAGCAAACAGTTTTGCATTTATTCCTAGCTGAATGGATACAAATAGGCAGCAATATTTCGCACACTTATAAGAAACAAGACGCTGCATCTTTTGGTGAAAACAAATTTTGAACACCAATGGTGTCGCGATCAGCTCACATAACTGCGAAGTCAGCAAGCATTGGTTCACTGACTAATTCAGGCTGATAGAGGCACCAGAATTCCAGCTTATAAACGGAGATTCCATGATACCATGGATAGAAAGAGTAAGTTAATCAAAAATTGTCAATTGTTTACAAACATCGGCTGTTCGCTTGAATGTGCTAAATGCCAAAGTCGTTAGCTTACAGTGTAGGCATAAAGCCTACCCCTTTAAGACATGTATTTAAATACCGTTTTGGGATTTGTGGCCACTCTTAATGGTTAAATGGGGTTTATGGCAGTCATTCATTATTTTATTTAATGCGCATGCCTACTGCACAGATCACACACACACACACACACACACACAATTTGGG